GATTGAACCCAGAGGTGCTTAACCACTGAACAACATCACCAGCCCTTTATTATTATTATTTTAAATTTTGAGACCAGATCTCACTAAATTGCTCATGACCTTGCTAAGTTGTTGAGGCTGGCTTTAAATTTGTGATCCTCCTGCCTCAGTCTCCCAAGCTGCTGGGATTATAAGCATGTGCCACCATGCCTAGTTATCATGGATATCTTTAAAAGATAAAATTATATATATATAAAAAGCAAGCCCAAGAAAATTCTGAGGAAAAAGAGGCTAAATAAAGAATTCAGAAATAAATATTTAGATTAGTAAATAATTTTGACACAACCAACTAGGTTTCACTGGGCCGGAGTGGGGAGGTGGGAAGGGGGAGTGTTTGAGGGAGAGTCTGATATCTAGCTTACTTGTTATGTAAAACAAATTTCAAATGGGTAGAAGATTTAAATAATAACTATAAAACTAATGGCAGGAAATATGGACAAATCTTTTCACAGTCTTGGCCCTGACTATATGCCAGGTATTATAATGAGTTCTGTGTATAAAATCCAACATAACCTTCACAATATTTGGAAGTAGGTACTATTATGATCTGTATTTTCAGTTGAGGACACTGCAGTATAGAGGAAAATTTTCAATTTTTTAAAGTGTCTTGTGTAAGGTTGTAGAGCCAGTGAGCAGAAGAGAGATTACCTGACCCTCAGCAGTCTGGCTCCAGAGTTTGTGTTCTCAACTACCATACTTCTTCTCTACATCCTGTATATGTGCACATAAGCTTCTGATTTAAGAAATAATGTAAGTGAAGTTAAAAAAAATAAAACAACAAACTGGGAAAATATAATATTCATACATATAGAGAAGGCACTGAATTTTTTAATATACAAAGAATTTATATAAATCACTTACAATTAAAAGAAAAAGTCATGAAGAACTAATTCACTGAGAACATATACCATCAGTTTATGCAGTGTCACTCGACTTAAAAAACACAAGTGAAAACAATGATGATTTTTACCTACCACACTGTCAAATCGTGAAAATTTTGGGAAATACTCAATATTTTGATCATGTTAGGAAAAACAGAAATGCCTTATTGTTGGAAGTATAAATTGGTAGAATTTTTTCAGTGGTAATTTGGCAAATCCATTAAAACATTAACCTACCTATCCTATCACTTGAGACATCAATTCTCCTTTATCGTATCAATTCCATAGAGATCTAGTGGCTGAGCGCAAAAGCACAAGGCTGTCCACTGATTCAGTGTTTGTAATAGTGCTACTCAATGTGAACCAACTATATTTCTAAGGGCACTGTGAGTTTGGCTGACTTTTTTTTTCCCCATAGGAAGATTTTCTTAATGAAGACAGCAGTGCACTTGATTTATGTTTGGGTACAAACTCCTCATCTCAGTATGAAATAGAACTTTGAGTGGCACTAGTTTATCATAACTAAACACTGGAAATAAGCCAAAAGTCCAACAAGTATTTGCTAAATAAATTATAATAGCTCTAAAGATAAAATCCAATGCCTTCATTTGAAATAATGAAATCTACATATTGGTTAAAATATAGATATGATGAAATGGAAATTAGTTTCAGACCAATATAAACATAATAATAAGTGCAAGATAAAAAGGTATGAGTTTGTATATGGCTTGAACTTCTAGATGCATACAAAAGATATTATTGACCATGGTTATCTTTGGGATATAGAATTTTGATCATAGAGAGATAGGGCCTGGAACTTTTGGTTTGTGCCCTTTGATACTATTTAAATTTTTCTACAACTAACAATCACATTTATAAATTTCTAAAATATTAAACTTTAAAATTTTATGTAAAAGTCAAGGCTACAAGTCACCTTATCCATCACTGAACAAAAATCAAATCAAATCAAAATTAATTTTGATTTGGGTCTTACTTAAATGTAAAACCACTAGAAGAAAATATTATAGAAACATTTTATGACACTGGACTGAGTAAAGATATTTTTGTATAGGATCCCAAAAGGACAGGCAACAAAAGCAAAAATAGACAAATTGGAGGACATCACACCCAAAAGCATCTCTGCATTAATCAACCAACAGAGTAAAGGAATGCTCTTCAGAATGGGAGAAAATATTTGCAAACTATATATCTGATAAGAGATGATTATCCAGAATATATAAGGAACTCAACTACATTCTTAAAAAATGGGCAAAAGACCTGAGTAGACATTTCTCTAAAGAAGAATTCAAATGGTCAACTGACATATGATAAAATGTTCAACATCACTAAACATCAGGGAATACCTTAGTGAGACATTACGTCACTCTAATAGGAATGGTATTATCAAAAAGACAAAATATAGAAAGTGCTAATAAGTATATAGAGAAAAGGGAACACTTACACACTGTTGGCGAGGATGTAAATTAATTTAGCCATGTGGAAAACATTATGGCAGTTCCCCAAAAAATTAAAAATAGAACTAACATATGATTCAGCAATACCACTATGGGGCACATACTCAAGGATATCAGTATATTGAAGAGATAGCTTCATTCCCATGTTTATTACACTGCTCACAATAACAAAAAAGAAATGGAAACAATCTAAATGTCTGTAACAGATGAGTGGCTAAAGAAATATGACATATACATACATGCACACATACACACATGTATATATGCCATATAGTATACACACACACAATCCAAATGCTACTCAGTCTTTAAGAAGAAGGAAATTCTATTATTTGTGACAACATGGATGGAGTTGGAGAAAATTATGTTAAGTGAAATAAGCCAGGCACAGAAAGACAAATACCACTTGCAGATCTAAAACAACTGAACTCATAGAAGCAGAGAGTAGAATGGTGGTTATGAGATTGGGCAGTAGAGAGAAAGGGGAGATAATGGTCAATGGGTACAAAGATCTAATTAGACAGGAATAAGTTATGGAGTTCTATTGTGAATTTAGTCAATTACAATGTATTGAATACTTCAAAATAGCTAGAAGAAAGGATTTTGAATATTTTTTTACAAAGAAATGATAAATATTTGTGGTTATGAATATGCAAATTGCCCCAATGGACCATTCTGTAATGTATAAATATACAGAAACACAAAATTAGACCCTATAAATTTGTAAAATTTAAATTTAATTAAAATATGTTAATTAAATTTAAATTTAATTAAAAATAAAGTAAATGTTAATTTACATGTTAATAATTTACATGTTAATTAAAAATAAAGTAAAAGAAAAAAATTACCAATCAAATAGTATAAAGAAAAATATCAACCAATCTGAACTCATCACAGATCAAATTTCCCAAAACTGGATTTGTGCTGAAATTTGTTTTTGAAGACACACTGACACAATATTTACATGGGAAAATTCCCATGAGTCATTGTGTAAAGATGTAAGAACACACCAACAGTCTTTTCCAAACCCAGAAATCTATTTTTCACCTTAAAATAAATTTATTTTGACCAATGCACATACCTTCCAAACCAAATCTTTAGTTCATCTATAAGATGGGTCTCAATGCTATGAAGCTGTGAAGTCAGGATTCTAACCCTTTAGCATGACAATCAATCATCTAATTCTGGTCATAACTACTTACAAAGAAATCCTGGACCAAGATATTCTTAGTTCTCAGAAGGACCCAAAGATGGTAGACAAAAATGGAAGGGCCCTTTATGCTTTATGGAAATCATAATTTATATTGTCCCAAATATGGATATTATTATGCCTTTTAGATTATATGGAGCACATTCATCTCATAATCATTTGTACAGTTCCATCAAGTTTGCAAAACACTTTTTATACCTGTTATTTCACTGAAGTCTCATGACAGATCTTTGCAGCAGATAAATTTCATTGATCTAATTGTACTGATGCAAACACCAGGCATAGAAAACTTAGGTTTACTCCCCAGAGTCACTAAGGAGTGAAACTGCAAAGACCAGGATGTGCCTGCAAGTTCCTACCAACACCCCTTCCAAGGCATGGCTGACCTACAGCACTCCCAACAGTGGAGTCCGCTCAGCTTGTTCTTGCTGTGCTGTTTATTTGCATGATGTTATGCCATCAAGTTGGATGAGTGTAAAAGCAGACCACGGCTGCTGCCCCTGTTAACATTGCTACTTGGAGCAGTCAGAGAGTACAAGCAGCTGCTTGAATTCTTCTCAGTCATCTTGAACAGTCTCAAGCAATACAAACAGAAAAGCAATTCCTGTTTATTGGAAAGAGGGAAGCTACTGCACACATTGTGTTTTCTAATGGCGCATCTGTTCTTCCTTACCTTTGCTCTACTTAATGCTTTTCTCAGGAAGTTCAAAGTGATGATAATAAATTCATTTTCCTTAAAGGTCTTTCTACCTCTGATACTAACTTTCACGATTTCTCAGCAGTCTTTCATCAGACATCTTTCCATGCACAAAGTGCTCTTTTAAACCACTCATCTTATATTTTATTTATATTTCTACTTCTTCATGCATAAACCCTATGTATAGGAATTATTGGCCAGGCCTTGTGGAAGGCATTTCATATACCATGTATAATCTCAAGCCTCCAGCAAATGCTCCAAGGTATTGCTCCTCACTCCCACTTTGCAGATGAAGAAACTGAAGCCTACAGTGGCAGAGTCTAGATCTTGCAGTAGTGAGAGGCAAAGCTGAGATTCAAATGCAGACCTGACTGGGTTCAAAGCCAAGGATTTTTCTCCAATATAGAGCACACCAGTAAGAATGCTTATTGAGTTACCTAATGAAAGAAGGAATTTAGTAAAAATGTTCATTTTTAAATGATGAATTTTAATAGCATCACACTCTCTTTTCTTTGGGTCTTAAAAAGTGGGTTGGTGGTCTACAGTGATGAAATTCAAACCTAATACAAGTGCAGCGCTCACGTATCATATCCCTGGACACAACCAAAGGAGAATTGCGGAATATAATGGACCCTTCTGTTCTACTGCTTTCTCCACCTGGTCAACTCTCAAAGGAAAACAAAATTCATATGATCACTGAGGTCTAGAAATTAACTTTTATTTTAAATCTGTCAAGAACTCCTGCAGTTATTAATTTTATTAAAATGATTACAATATGGCAAAATAAAGAAGAGAGGTAATTCTATTTCTCTACAATATAATTTATGAGTTAGATTCTCAACTGCTGGCTCAGCATAGTTCAAGGTTCTTTTAAAGGACTGGGGGACTTTAATTTCCAAAAAATGTCAAAGCAGCAAAAGAAAAAAAAATAAATTAAAAGTAATTACAATGGGAGATATTGCCAAAGAAGTACTAATTATAAAATCTTTTTGACGTGTTTACAGATCAGACTCCAAACTTTAGTACTTTATAAAGAAATCATGTGAATAGCTATTGTATATTGGCTTGTCATCTATAACACAGAATAAATTTGCTCATATACTTTAAAAAGATGGCAAAAATTTATCATAATTAATTCAAATGAAATACAACCAAGCATTCATTCCTCTAAGTGAAATATGTTAAAACAAAAACACTTTTATTAAAATATTTAATGCCAGAATAACTTATAATAGTATGAAAAAGAGTGAAGTATTTGTCCTTAGTTTTCATTGACATGGTCACATTTTGGCAAAACTATTTTGTGACAATTCCAAAGTTTTCATCATGGATCTCTAACTAGTTAAGGATGTAAACCAAAAGAACTTGTACTTCATCTGATCATACAGTCATAACTTACATATCTTGCTTTGCACTTACTGTTACTGCAAACCGCAATTTTAAAAAACAAAGTAAAAATATATATATACAAAATATTTTTATATCAAATTATCTTCATTACACTAAATAAACCCAATCCCCAAATGCTATGTTACATGAAAAAGTGTCCTACAATTTATATCAAGACTGATACTGTCTATAAATCAACCAGAGCAGCCTTTAGTTTTAAAAGCATTTGCAAAATAAAGAAAAATATAACCACATGGCTGCATTATTGGCACTCATTCACACTCACAAAAATGCTTTCCAGTTAAAAAAAAAATTACAAAACAGATTACATACCCAGAAAAAAAAAAACCTCACCATAAAACAGTCCAATCCTTTTGACTTCTCTGTTGCACATACACTGTATTATACTTGGCGTCTCCACTGTTTAAGTTTCACGTCTTCCCAAGCTGATTAAAATATTATTGTTTGATTGAAAAAGATACTCTCTCTTGATATTGATTATTCTCACTCAATGGTAGTCTAATTTAGAAACAAAATGTTCTTTCTTTTAATGCATGATTTCAGGTAACTTTTACTTGACTGTGCTAGTTGGCAAAAAATCCAGAGATGGTTCAATGTTTTATTTTCCATGTTTTAAATCTAAAAATAAGTTTTGTGTGTGTATATGGAGACCCACTTCCTTCATTGTCTTGTTCTCATTGCAATACAAATTGACCATCATCAATTGTCATTTGATATGAACCATATAAAAAGCTTTTAGTCATTCCATACGAAAAACAGTTTCCATCACACAAAAGCACTGAATTCTAATGCAAACAGGGTTATGTTTTTAAACTAAACTATAGGTTTAGTTTTGCACAGGAAAAATTTCAGTTATTTATAAAATAAAGGTTTTTTTAAACTTTGGGAAAACAAAATACAAATGATTTCTATGGGGCATTGTAGTACTTTCTAGCAGCACTTGAAAAATGTTTTTCTGATCACATGTATTCACTGAAATTTTAAATGAGTTTGAAGGAATCACTTCTTAAATGTATACATTACGTGGATCACCACACCTTTCATTTTGGAAGGTTGGAACATATCAGATATGCAAGCAAAATACATGCATAAAATCCTCACTGTCATTCCGAAAAGCTCACTGAACAAGTTTCAACACTGCAGACATTTTTTTTTTTTTTTTTAAAGGAGCATTTCATCGGGGCTGAACAGATTTCCAAGTTTTAACATGTGAACTACTGAATATATTTCAAGGGCTTTTAGCAATTCTGGTTTCAGTCCTGAAATGGTTAGGTCTGTCTGGAATGATGCACGCAGACTCATAAGCATGTGGCGTTGGCATTTTGAGGCATAGCGGTCCCACTATGCCCACGTTGTAGCTTATTTTCGGTAAGCAAGGCACTTACTGTAATGGTAATGCAGACATTTTATGCATAGTTTAAGTAGCATAAAATAAGTTAATAGTTTTGATTAAAATGAGTTCTTTATAATTTATAGGTCTTTTATAGAAGCAACTAAATGGTATATTTAGGATAATTAAAAATAAGAGGAGGCTTGAAAGGGAGTCATGGTCACTCCTGCTCCGGCTCTCTGGATGAGGATTTAGGCAAAACGCTGACAAGAAGAACATCCACTGGACAAGCTCTTAAAACTGCTGTGCCAGGGGCACTTTGACTGTCTTTACTTCTGCTATATGGGAAGACTTCTGAATGATGCAGCTTGTGGTTCCCTGCAGCTTGTCTTTTCCCTGCGCAAGATTGGTTAAGGCCATAGCTGCGTTGATCTCCTTCCAGTACGTGTCATCCTTGTTCGGTCCCTTTCTGTTAGCTGCACTGGATTTAAGCAAAACAGAAAGAAAACAATGAAACTCGCTGCAGTTTGGATGGACAATGGTATCACTGCAATGCCCTCAGGACAAACAAAAACTTTCTGCTCACCTGTCACCCTTACTGGATCCGTTTTCCAGAGTGTCTGTAAAAAGAAGCAAAAGATCAATTACTTTTCTCTTTATCTTTCTTTTTTCATCTCAGGAATTCCATCATTAATGACCAGGAATAAAACTTCATCTGGAAAGGTAGTTAAAAATTAGTTACATTTTTACCAAGATAAATGTGTTTGTTAGAATGCAAATAATAATAATAATAGTAATAATAATAATAAAGATAATGACAAAATGAGCATGACAGTGAATAAAGGTAGCTTTTTAGAGATACACAAAATCTGAGGTCAATTAAGAAATTGGGCCTTTCCATCAGGAGGTGAACAGCTTAGGACAAAAGGTGCTGAATATACCTGGGGCCAGGTGCTACCTTGCTTCACCATCCACCTGCTGTGGTCCTTTAAGACATATTACAATGGCCCACAAAGTCTGGGATTCCGTTTTCTCAGCTATAAAATAAGGGGGTTCCTAGAAGATGTTGACAGTGCCTCTGGCTCAATATTCTGTGATTTCATGAAAACCAAACCTCAGAAAAAAGAATGACACATAGTTGTCTTTGGTTAGTGAGCAAATGAGTAACAGTTGGAAAGCTGACAGCAACACAGAACTTGTGGCCCATGAGGAGGAGCCAGTACCAGTCCTCAGTCTCCAAAGAACTCCTGCTACCAACTCTGGAAATGAAGGGGATCCTGGCCTCTATGTCTCCATTTTCACCTTAGGTTTACATTTGCTCCCTTGGAACGCTGATGATTCCCAGCACCACATAGATATAAAGAACGATGAAAAGAGACTTTTGATATTTCCTTTGGCTGAAAGGATGTGGTATGAGTAACACAAAAATTGATGTCTTGCAGGGAAGGAGGCATGGGGGTAAGAAGGGCCACCTCTGTGGCTGGGGACAGGCCAACAAAGGAGTACAGCAAGGTCTCCCCATCAGTTTAAGAGACTCGGGATCTTCATAGGGGTGAAGCCTCTGTGGTCATCCTCAACAGTAAATACCACAGAGTAGCTATAGAATTGGGGGTTGCAGTACACAGAGGAAATGTGGGATGTGCATGCTGAAGGCCCTCTTCTCATTCTGTGGCCTTTGGAAAACTGTCCTTTCCTGCCCTCAGTTCTCCCTTTTCTATTTTTTCCCCCTCACCAAAATTTCTCAAGGTTTTTTTTTTTTCTTTTCTTTGCCATGTTCAAGGCTCATTAGACAATGCACTAATTTCTACTTCTGAGCTCTAAGAGAGTCACACAAAGCAGAGACTTGACAAGAAGAACATCAACGTGACCACAGTATTGTCCAACCAGGACATTTCCCAGGTCAGGGATGGTTGAGAGAAAATACCCAAGCCCAGGCACAGTGGCACATGCCTGTAATCCCAGCAATTGAGTAGGCTGAGGTAGAAGGATCCCAAGTTCAAGGCCAATCTGGGCAAACTAGCAAGACCCTTCCTCAAAATAAAAAAAAAAAAGAGGGTTGGGGATGTAGATCAGTGGTATGGCACCCCTGGGGTCAATGCCTAGTTCTATTAAAAAGAAAGAAAGAAAGAAATTACATGACCACACAGTCAAGGCAGCTAAGTTTCAATGCCTCCTAGGCAGAATAAGAAGGAAGAAAGCCTGATACTATGTCCTGACTCAGGCTTGAAGTGCACAATTTGAGACTAGATGGGTCACCAGGAGCTCCTTCCACACCCTCACCTAGGGACCCAGGGAACTTTGGAAAAAGAAAGGTGAACAAGCAAAGTTAAAGCACTTAATGAGCAAATGACAAGGTCGTTGTGAAGAAATAGGAGATGCGTGCGTGTCCCAGTATGAAAGCGCATGTTAGTCTCTTCACCATCCTTTCATTGAATACTCAGGCAGATCTTATAAAGTTTTAGGGAATCCTTTGGGAGAAACAGTTGGGTCTGTGAGCAGCTGGATGATCACCCTCTGGAACCCCATCAGCCACTGGACCTTCTGTCCCTCCTAGGTTGACCTGGATGGTCAGCTCTACCTCTGCTGCTTTGGATAATTTGGGGATTATAAAATCACCCATGGAAGTGGAGGTAAGCAACAATAATTTTTAGTTTGCAGAACTCTGATAATTCTAATTTATAGGTTGGGTACTATGTGCCAGGCAGTGTTCTGGGTGTTTTAATGTATTATTAGTGACTTTACATGGATACCAAGTCTCTGTGCCTGTGAAGTCATTCTTTGTTTAGTCCTATCATCTATAAATCTTAACTCAGTAATGACAGGGACAGGGCGCTACTAGAACAGAGAACAAGTCAAGGCCTTTGTTTGGGAGAGGAAAGCCAGTAACATTGGACACTTTACAGAGGGAAAAAAAAAAGATTTTCGGCCTTTGCTCAATTTTGCCCACAAATTGCAACAATTCTGTTGCCAAAGTGAAGCAATAGGTTATGGAGATATTTATTCAATGGAAAGATTTGTCAAATGCAGGATGAATCCCATGAAGCTTAAATAACAGTAGGAAAGTAATGAAACATAATTTAGAAAAGACCATGTAACTGACACTCCGTTTCACGAACAAAGCGGGTTCCTATATACAAAGGAGACCAGAATCCGATTCTCTACCTGAACGGTCAGCCTGAGAATGGTTACTGTTCAGACACATGAGAAGCCTGTGGCTATCAAATATGTGATGGGATTTGGAATCCAGAAATGGCGTCAAGTACATGTAGCCTGTGTGTACAAGGAGAACATGAAATTCACCGTTCAGGCCCATGGGGAGAACTTCTGTTTAACATGAGGAGCAAACTCAGGTGACCTTTCTGCAGCAGCGTGCACAACCAAAGGCTAACACTCCCTTGTGGCCAGCTCCTTGAACTTGTGCTGCTGAGAAACAAATTTATTGCAGCCAACTGTGAAATTATAAAATTCTGCTTACTCTTTGGGTGTATGTGTTTTACACTTTGGTTCCTATGAAAATATCTTTGAAGTGTAAAAACACACACACTAACCCCTGTTTGGATATTCTTAATTAGTTTCACAAATCTTAACAATGTCCTAGGCAGGATTCAAAAGACTGAATTCTCTATTTTATTTTAAGGCAGATGGGTACATTCAACATCATTAGGTGTGGGTTAGTTTCCTTTCCAAGAACAGAGAAAAAAAATCTTTATAAAAAGTAATGAAGAAACATCTTGTGTCACTATCAATAGTCAGTGCCCAGCTGGGCAGGGTAGTGCACACTTGTAATCCCAGCGATTTAGGGAGGCTGAGACAGGAGAATCCCAAGTTTGAGGCCAGCCTCGACAATTGAGAAAGGCCTTAAGTAACTTAGTGAGACCCTGCCTTGAAACAAAATATTTAAAAAGGGCTGGGATATGGCTTCTCCGACCCTAGGTTCAATCCCTAGTACCACCACAACAAAAAATAGTCAGTGTCCAAGTTGTGTATTACAAAGCTTAATCTCAAAGATTACAAAGAAAAGGCTGACTATCACCACTCCTGGGGGGGTTTCTGTCTCCAGGGTCATTTGGTGCAAAAAGTAAATTGGAATTATAAGGGCATGATTTCTCCATTGCTATAATGGATGGGCTGACCGGTGACACTAGGATATTGTGCATCCGAGGACCACCTCCTGCAGAGTAATGAGTTCCAATGCACAGAGCAACCAGCAAAAGGAAGATGGCAAGTAGGAGCCCTTTTACCTTGAAATACTTGTGCTTTTGTAGGAAAGCAAAAACTCCAAAGATCTGGCAGTTTGGGGAGATTTTTTCCTTATTCATTATGCTGAGATCTGGGGAGATATCCCACCTATTTTAGGGGACTATGATATCATTTGAGAAGAACTAAGAAAATTTACAATTCACTCCTTGTATTAAGTGGTGTTATTAAATGTTGTAATGTTTTTATTCTTCTGCCCTTTTTCTTTGAAGTAAAAACTTGCTTGCTCTTTTCCAGTTCAATTATTTTGTGCCTTTTCAGCCCACAGTCAGTATTTAAAAAGCAGTGGGTCTATTGTCCCCATTACCGATGGTCATGGGGATCACGTCACTTCTACCCACTGATGACAGGTGGTCTCACAGGCTCCGTTCCCGAGTTGGCACCTAGGAGTTGCAGAAATAACCTGGTGGGCAGGAGAAGGAAGGATTCTGAATGTTGCTGACATCCAAAAGTCAGTCAAAAGTCTGAGCGAGCTCCTGCTCTGCAGGATCCCTGGTGCACTTCATTAGCAAGCACAGTCTTGGGGTCTGATTCCCCACATTCCCCTCAGCTGTATCTCCTACTCTGCAAGTAGCTTGGCTCAGCTTCCCTAAAGTCTGAGCTAAAACGCCTTTTTAGATTCTAAGGTTCCAAAAATCAGCTATGCTGTCAATTACCATAAAAGCAACTGGTTGGCAGGAACTACTTATTGAACCAGCCAAAAGAGCCTGTTTTAAAGACCAAAAAAGAAAAGGAAAGGAAAAAAAAAAACGAGGTACGTAGTTAGGAAAATCTTGGATGCTGTAAAACCTAAACCATGTCAAAATCTAAAGTGGGGCTATCCTCAGTTTGGACATGTGTTTCCTTATTAAGTTAAGTAGAGAAACAATTATACAAAAAAAAAAAACTCAGTTTTATGGCAACTTAAGATGTGTAAGCATAAAGTTCTGGAGGTCAAAGACCTTTCCAACTTTGATAAATGCCATTTAGAAACTCAACTGATTCTGATAGATATTCCTAAAGTAACACTTGTAGCCATAAAAAAAGACAAAAATATGGCCAAATCTTTTTTCTCTGAGATTGTTTTTTCCAAGTTTAATAAATAGATCCTAAAGTTAGTCATGTTTTAAAGTATTTCACAAAATACTACCCACACCACTAAAATGTAAATAAAACTAAGTAAGATTAAGCATATGAATACTTTTAATTAGATAATCAAAAATCATAAACTGTATGTTTCCTTAAATTAAAATGGAGAAAGTGAAAGACAAGAAACTTCAGGGAAATTATTTACCTCACCTAGCAGGCCTAGCCTAAGGCCTTCACAGAGAAATTAAAATTTTGAGGCCTTTGCCAATGATCTAAAGCAAACCAGAGATCCAGC